AACACTAGAGCTACTAAAATGGTCAAAGTGACTATGTCATATATATACTTGTAACGGCATATTTTTTAGATACTCGAGTGGTTTTTAATAAAATGTATTAACAGAAGCTTCTTTGTTGCATTATTAACTTTTTCTTGTACTTTGCACTTTAATTCCCTTGCCACAAATGTTACTATTTAGTTGAGTCGGTTCTAGTGTTAAAAACACCATAGAACACTGAAACCTTTCAATTTTGTCAGATCATCCGTAGCGACTCGAAATTTGCGCAAAAAAAAAAGAAAGAAAAAAAAGAAAAGAGAAAGATCGAACTGTTGCAGGCGGTGACGACGTGCAACAATTATGCGACGCCGGAGAAGAAGAATTTCTGGAAATTATGGCGCTCGTTGGTATGGCAAGCAAACCCCTCCACGTCAGACGACTTCAGAAAGCTCTGCAAGAGTGGCTGACAAATCCTTGTAAAGTATCGAATTAAATTTTACACGATATCTGAAATTCAGTTAAAATATATAATTGCGAGAGAGAATAAAGAGACGCGTGAAATTGAATAAGATAAAAAAAGAAAAAAGAAAAAAATCCGTTCCATCATCCATCCGAAGCACAGATATTCTCGATTTTATTACGACAAATTAGAAAGTTAATTTCAAGACGATTAATGGATTAATCAATTAATTCGTTTATCACAGCGCTCTTCCAAACGCCAGTGGTGCCGACAACAGCCGCGTGCAAAGCTCCTACTGGCATAGGATTCCCCTGCGTGAGTCCTAGGCCGCAAGTGCAGAATCTTCAAGGTTTCACGACGACCACGCAAACACCAACTCCTACGCCCTACGTTTCATCGCACGTGTCCCTAACACCGTTACCATGTAGAAGTACCAGCCCTATTGTGTCTGTTACAAGTGTAACAGCACCGGTGGCCTCGACGACGTTTCGGCAAAGTCCAAGCCCCAATACACCTCTGCCTTACGCTACTTCCCACAGTCCTGGCGTATTACAGGTACATATATTTCTCGAATGATAGACATAAGGTAAGAGGTAAGATGGCCACGCTAAGTGTAATTCTCTTTATTTCTTTTTTTTTTTT